ATGTGACTTTGAGAACTGTAAAGACTTCTGTAAAAACACTGCAGGACCTTGCTTTTAACTGCAACATGTTTTCATACTCAGTGACTGACAGCTTTTCTTGCATGATTTCTCCTAGGTTGAATCTGTAGTTGTGTACATAGGCTGGAGCTATATATCCAACCCTGGAAAAATTAGGCAAGAAAAGCTGTTGGCTGCTGAGGAACCCCACCTGGTAATATAGGAATGCTGTAATGCATGCACGATAAGGAGCTAATAAATGGCAGGGTTTTATGGCTTTAGGGTCCAGTTCTGCAAACACTGCACAGCATAATGCTACAATAACAAATGATAATGCTTAAAGACCTTTTGTGCTGTAGTTTCCACTAATGTTTGCAAACTGGGTCTCATTTTTACATAAATTATTCACAATTAGCAGGAGTTGACTTTTATCTTGTGAAACTTTCAGGATGACACTTTATAGCTGATGTCAGCTATTTTGATTAGGTAACTGTGTTGTTGTTTGCTGTATGTGTGCAAGAGAGACTTAGAGCTAGAGTTGTGATTTGTAAGATGTTGCAATCTGTTCACTGTATTAAAAAAAAAAAAAAACCAAACCCCAAAAAGTCCTACTGCACTAGCTGTACTTTAAAAAAGCAATAACATGAGCATCTTTTAGCTTTTGTCTCCAAAGGTGCTATCTGTCATGATCATTTCAATTGTTGGCCATGAATTTGGTAAAAACATGTTAAAGAAGTTGTCTTATGTTGTTTAGTTGGCACATACAAGTAGAAATTTTTTGTGGTCAGCCTGCGTACTGACAAGTGCAATACTTTGGACTACTTACATGACCACCCATATCTTTAAAAATCAGAAACCTATATCCATTTATGGTGCTAATGATCTCAAATATTATTAAGAGCTGGTATTCTCTTCTTACCCATGAACACTAAGGAAAGCTGTTTTTGACATCTTTTCAATAAAGCAAAATTTCTCTACATTTTGAGCCTGTTCCAGATGGTTTTAATATAAATGACCCTTTTCTATTTCTATTTTAGATAAAAACTGCAAACAAAGTAAGTATTTTAATGCAGGAAAACATTAGAAGTATATATGTTGGTCTAAACTACATGTCCAAGTCTAAGTTTTCATACATTATTAAGATAGCTAATCCTCTGAAACTCAGTCTGAAATACAAGAGTTGTGTTGGCAGGATTAAGGCGCAAGGTAGTAGTTTAAAGAAAATCATCCTGTGGCTTCATCATCATTGTTGAAGCCTCAGAGACAGAGAGGATGTGAAATGTACAACACTGCAGCAGGAGAACACCAGTTATGCAGGGTAGATTCACCTTTTGCTGAAACTTCGAAAAAACAAACTTGTGAAGGAACATGACCATGTAACCATATCTAAAGAACAGAATTGAAATTTGATGTAATTATCAAGGCTGTTCATTGTAGGACATTATAAAAACCCATGAAAGGACGTTAAACTAGATTGTTTAGATTGTGGAACAGCAATGTAACTTTCTAGCTTTGTTTGAAAGCTTCACAAGCAACGTCCTCTTAAGACGAAAAACTCTTGTGCCTTCTGTTGCAGAAGTTGTTGTTCTCTTCCCTCCCCACCTTTGGTTATGAATTTCTTTGTATATAATGAAGGACAATGCACTTCCCAGTCTTTTCAGGAGGCATTTTGGGGCAGCAGTACCTACACTTTCTACCTGTGGAGAATACCAAGACTCTAGTTCTTTTTGAAGGCCCCTTACATGTCAACTTGCAGTTGTAAAAGTGCCTGCCTGTGACACATGTGGCAAGCCTACTGTAATCAGCTCTGAAATAAATATGCTCTATTTGATATGGACATGTGAACATGCAGAGTGGGTACCATGTCCAGGTACACCCTGGTGAGTCAACAGGGTGCAGCCTGGAACACTGCAGCACACTCCTCTGCTCTAGAGTAGTTGCTCTGAGGTTTTGGTCCCTAAACTGTTCTCTTTCATATACTGTAATAAGTTCTCTTGAATCTCTTGTACCTTGCATGTCAAGGAATATGGGCTTGTAAAAGATCTATTTTATGGAACTTCTGTGTCAATGCAAAGAATATTCCATGGCTAGAGTAACTTAATTTAAAGCAGAAACCCACCACCTGAGATAAAATCAGGGCAAGCTGCTGGGTTTTTTTTTTTGAGTGAAGAGGGTTAATCTAGTAACAATAGTCTAGATTGTGTCTTGCTACTTGTCTCAGTGCCTGCTTTAATAGTAGGACACTTGGAAGAGCCAAAGATAGAACAAAGTCATCCATAACAGTCCTAAGCCACATTGAAATATAACTTTCCTATCTCTTAATTACTAGATGCTTCAGAGAAAAAGGGCTTTTGTTTTTTAATTTACAAAAAAAAAAGTGCAATATTTACAGAAATATAAAGAGATAAATGGCTGCAAGTTTGAATGCCCTGCAAAAAACAGCCTTTGTGAGCACGTGACATGCACTTGACTGTGTTTTTTTAGCCTTAGCATCTGCTGTGTTACAGAAACATGTTTGTGTACTAGTCTAACTCAGAGATTTCAAATATTTTCAATATTCTTTTGGCAAAGAGAGTGTTTTTTAATGAATAAAGTGCCTGTGGAAATAAAAATCCAAAAGTTGCCTGCAAATGTAAATAAAGCATATAAAACCACAGCCCATACTTGAAGAGAATGGGTGCTAACTCAGTAACTGTAGAGAATAGCTGCTCAATAGTCGTAAACGTTGATAGTATTTCAAGTTTGAGAAAAGAATATTATGTTTCTTTTGAGAGTTTACTGTGTTAATTAAACTTCTACTGTTTCTGCTTGGGCCTTAACTCTGTAACTTAGTTATCTTTAAAAAAAAATAAGTTCCTTTGAACTATTGTATTTCAAATGCTTGTTTTAATGACAGTCTTTACTCTGATGGGGATTTTTGTTTGTTACATGGAGGGTTTTTTTACCTGTTAAAAGTAAAGTCACCAAATGCTTTGATTACTCAATTTGAGGTAAAAGAGTTTGAAGAATGGTTTTTCCTTAAGTGCAGAATTCAAGGGAGGGTGGGTTTTATTACATTGCTACTAGGACTGAGGAGGAATGATTTCCATGGGAAGCATTATAGTGCTAAAACTTGTATATGTAGTTATTTGGGGTAAGCAGAATATTAGTACGTGCGTATTGTTTTGCTTTTAATTTTATGCTCTATAAAGAGGCTGTTAGTACTAATTTAAATTGAAAAAATGGATTTTAATGTTGCAATAGCTATTATTTTAACATGAAACATCCATTTATGTACTGATACGCAAGAGCAAAATATACATTTGATCACTAACTTCATTTAAAAGTATGAAAGTAATCTTATTTTTATCAAAATTAATGTGGAATTTAATCTCTGGACAAGCTTTAATTGGTCATATGCCACTGAAACCAATCTTTGAATTGCATACAGAAGGAAGGCAGGTTTTTTTTTTTTTATCTAGTGGAACTTCTTGACTAGACTAAGAGGGAAGTGAGACTAGATTACTGTTCTGTAAAGAAAATGGGCAAAACCAGTAATGTGTTTCAGCTGTGCTGAATAGCTTAGCGTCTTGTTTTCACACTGTAGAATTTAAAATTTTTTTGAGACTCAGATTTAAGATGTCTTTAGTTCAGCTAAATTTTCACCTGTTCTTTTTATATTTTTTCTACTAGTTGCATTTTATTGGTGTACGTTGTAATTAACCACTGAATTTCTGCCAAATATATATATATATAAAAAGATGCATTCTGTTCTGCTAATTTAAATGTGTTCTTAGTTTTTTTATTTTGTTTAATCCATGGCTAATAAAATGTCCATTTGCTGTTTAGATTAAAGAGACAGTTGCCTTAATTGCTTGGAGGAAAGCTCACCTTGACCATTTGAAGCTTTATGTATTTCTAAAATTCCTGTAACTTCTGTAAAATTGCAATAAAACCTTTTTAATACAGTTCAGCCACTGTTTTATGAGCCACTTGTCACTATCTTTATGGAATGCTTAACTATTTAAAAAGGAGTTTTTTAACAACACTGTTTATAGTGGATAAGCACCTCTTGTTCCCTGCGGTTTTTTATTTTTGGGGGGGGATCACTTTGAAGATGGTGTTTTGCCCACAGTGCTCTTCTCTTCTAGTGAGAGGGTACCAAGAACAATTCTTAAAATCGTTGATGCTGCAGCAAATGGCTTGGAACACGCTACGGTAGCGTTTTCAACATCTGATTACCTTTGTAGGGATTACATTTCGTTGTTGATCAGCAGGAAAAAGTGCACCAAGGTGTATTCTACAGAGCGAGGGAAGTTACCCTGAAAACCAGTTGGGGGTAGGTTTGGGTTTTTTGGGATGTTGAGGTGTTTGTGTGGGGTGTGTGTGGAGGGGTGGTGTCTGTGGGGTTTTTTTGTTGTTTGGTTTTTTTGTTTGTTTGGGGGTTTTTTTTGTTTTATTTATTTATTTGTGGGAAAGAACTATAATTATTTTTCCTCTAAATTTAAAATTCAGGTCTGATAAGCCTCTCTGTGCTGTTCTGCGTTTACCAAGCAGTTGCTTTAACCTAGACCTGAGACATGTTTCTGGGTTAGTCCTCGCTTATGAAAACAGAACATTTTGGTCTATTACTTAAAACTCCCAGCTTCTCTATCGGGGAAGGGGGAAGAAGGATCATCTGTATTTTGTTTCCTTCTAAACACCACTAAAAATGGATGCTTGCAGAAGGAGCGTTTGAAAGCAAGTCCTATGAGGTTGTGGGGAGCACTCTCTCTTTTTTTTTTTTTTTTTCCGCCATTAGCTGAACATTTGTGCTTATGTTTAATGCCATCTTTTAAACTTCGACTGTGTCCTAGCACCGAGCCAGCTTTTTACCGCTGAAGGCGGCGGCGGTACCGGAGCCCGGCCCCGCTCCCCGCCCACAGGCCCGGCGGGACGGGGTCAGAGCGCCGCGGGCCTCGCCTCCCGCCCCCCCCCGCCATCTTAAACCGCTACTCGCCGGCAGCGGGGCCAGCGCGCCGGTCCCACCGCCCGGGGAGATGGCGGCGCCGGGCACGGCGGCTTGGACGTGGCTGCTGCGGCCGCCCACCGCCACCGAGCTGCTGCTGGCGGCCCTGTGCTGGCTCGGCTGCTACTGGCTGCTGCTGCGGCGGCCGCGGGCGCTGTCGGGGCTACCGCCGGGCCCCGCGCCCTGGCCGCTCGTGGGCAACTTCGCCTTCGCCCTGCTGCCCCCGCCGCTGCTGCGCCGGTGGGCGGTGGAGGTGCGGGACGGCGGCCGCGTCTCCCCCGCCTTCTCTCCGCATGTCTTCCTCACCAGCCTCACGAAGATGTACGGCAGCGTCTTCCGCCTCTTCGTGGGCAGCCGCCCCTTCATCGTGCTCAACACCTTCGAGGCGGTGCGGGAGGCGTTGGTGCAGAAGGCGGAGGTGTTCAGCGACCGGCCCTCCGTGCCCATCGTCCTCATGATCACCCACAACAAGGGTAAGCGCCTGGGGGCGCCCCGGCGGGTGTCGCTCGGGGAGCTGTCGCACCCTGATGGATGGACAGGGCGATGATACCGAGCGGGAGCTGCGAGCGGGGCTCGTGGCTGCTGTGCCAAAATTTATTAATAACTATTGTGAATTGCGAAGTGAACCATTTACTTGCTTTTTGCTCCTAGCGTGTGTCCTTCACCCTGCTACTGACCGAAAGCACGCAGAGAGAAACTCGCTCTCCCTTGAGGTGGACATGCAGCATCCCTGTGAACTGGGCAGTGCTGTGCTGTGCACCACAGACCACCTCTGGATGACTGAAATGCCTGATCCCTTTAGCTCTATTCACAGTAAAGGAACCGAGGAGTGGCTGAGGGGAGCTAGGGTTGTTTAGTCTGGAGAAGAAGAGGCTCGGAGGGACCTTATTGTTCTCCCAGCTACCTGAAAGGAGGTTGTAGCCAGGTGGGGATTGGCCTCTTCTCCCAGGCAACCAGTGGCAGGACAAGAAGACATGGTCTCAAACTGCACCAAGGGAGGTTTAGGTTGGACATTAGGAAGAATTTCACAGAAGGGGTGACTAGGTGTTGAAATTGACTGCCCAGGGAGGTGGTGGAGTCACTATCCCTATAGGTGTTTAAGGAAAGACTAGATATGGCACTTAGTGCCATGGTCTAGTTGACATGGTGGTGTTCAATCATAAATTGGACTCAATCTTAGAGGTCTTTTCCAACCTAATTGATTCTGTGACTGGCATTTGTGCAGGGGTTTAAGGAACCGCTGGTCTGTCATCTAGGGGCTTTCTGATTTTGACTGTGTCAGGAGAAGAAATTTCAAAACTTTGGCAGTGGTACAGAAATGAGTGCTTCCCCAGTTCTTACCAAGGGAACGATGGCAAAGAGCAGGTTTCTGTGGAGTCCTGTAGCTGTGCAGTCTGTGCTGCCTGTGCGCAAGCTACTGTTGCTGAGATGTTTGCAGGTGTATTATTCTGCTTGTCAGAATTTATTGAGTATATTTGGGATTGTGGGGTTTTTGTTTGTTTTTTTGGGGGGGTTTTGTTTGTTTGTTTTGTTGGGTTTTTTTGTTTTGTTTTTTATTGGGTTTTTTTTACAGGTCAAAGGAGAGTTTACTAGCTTTTGCAAGAAGAGGGCATGGAGAGTGTAAATGCATGTTGGCAATACTGCAGTTAGAATTTCTTCATGTTTAGTTTTTAGGTCATTATGGATGTCAATGTTTGTGGAAAACTAATTTTCCATTTCCAGTTGGGAAGGGTAGCCCAGAAGGCTTGTTAGTGTGCTAGCTTGTTGTGAAACTTATTTTTTATTTTTTATCAACTTATCTTTAATTTGTTGTTGGGTTTTCTGTTTGTTTTTTTTTGTTCTGTTTTGTTTTGTTTTTAGTGAACCAGAATTACCCTTGTAAGGATAAGAGGAAAGCGAGAGACCTAGATCATGTTTATTAAAATGTGATCAGGTACCATTGCTGAAATTGGTTTAAAAAATAAAAAAAAATTATAAATTATATTGATGTGAGATATTACTGGCATATTATCACGCGTGAGTGTTTTTAGGTACAGTACTTTTAGCAAGAACTGGGGGAGGAAAGGGGAAGAGGAGTTAGATAATTTTAGCGGTGCTGTAAAACTGCATGTTTAAGCTCATGGTGGATTTCTTTTTCCTTAAATACTGTGTGTTTCGTGTTCTCTGACAGGCTTTTTTGAACATGGTGCCACAAGGTTAGCAAGGGCAATTAGCTGCTTTCACTAGTGGATGTTCCAGGGAACTTGAGTGTGTAAGGAGCCTGTTGTCCAGAGCCAGAGCGTGCTGCAGCCAAGTCCAGGGACTGTGCCTGCCTGTGTTGTGCTGCAGCAGGGACATTACATTGCTTTACGTTTAGTTTTATCTGGAAGGTCACTGTAACTGCGCTCAGGCACGAGGACTGTTACATGAGGGCTGCCCAGTGGTCCATAAAACATCCTGATCTGATGTGTAGTGCGTGTGTTCACTGGTGCAACACGTTGAATTGCCACAGATGTGGAAGTGTTGTAGAATGAACCACAGGGGTGGTGTATTTTGAGTATACAAAGGGAAAAGTCAGTGAATGTGGGCAGTGCGGGCTGCTGGTTCTCCAAAAGCCAGTGTAACTTACAGGTGCTCTCACTGGGCTGGCTTGGGTTTAGTGGTAGCATGAAGGAGATGACTGAACATCTGTGATGCTACATTTGTGATAACTACTCTTTCTTTTTTGTCTGTGGTTCATGGAGGAGGGCAATGGGTTACAGCACTCAAACTGGAGGCCTCTGAAGGTTGGTCTGAGAGCCTTCTGAACATAGGTTCAGGAGTTTGTGGTGAGACTTTACTGCAGGTCAGGACAGAGGCAGTTGTGTTAGTATGTACTAGGAAAGGAAATGATAAAAGCAGGATGATGGGTAACTTCAGATCTGCTGGTCACAATTTGGGTACTACAGCACTGGGACACTTTGAGTCAGTAAGTGTTCATTTTGGGTTTCTATATCTTTGTTCTATAAGCAAGCTACGGGGTATGAACTTACAGGGCTATTTTCTTGTAAGCTACATTTTCTCTCTTAGTTTTGTCTTTGCCCTGAGCTGACCTGCTGGGTATGGCATGGAAGAAAGCAGGGCTTATCTCAGCTTTGTGGCTTGATTGTGTATAACATGCAAATGGAATATTGTGCCTGGGGGAGAGCAAATAGAAGTATCAGAAATGGCAAATACTGTATTTCAATGACTTGATTAGTAAAGAAGGAGACCTCCTTGGCTGGATGGGAAGTGCCATGAGAACTTAAGGGAGAAGTTAAGTCTTAATTGAAGGCTTCTGCACATACATCTGTGGGAAGAGAAATACTAGACTGGGGGAAAATGTAGATTTTGGTGGTTTTGTTTTAGTAAAGAGTTTTTGTATTTTATATCTATGAGAGGTAGCAGTGACTCAATCTCTAGAGTGGAAGGAGTCTGAGTGGTTGTCTGCCATTTTACCCCTGTCCTGTGCACATCCAGATGTGGACATCTGACAACACAGAAGTTAAGTGTTATTAAAGGTCATGAATTCTGTGTTGGTCGATGCTCCCAGTAAGCAGTAACACTAAAGCTAGCAGAAAGAAATGGGGGAGGAGGGAGGGTAAATTAACTGTTACCAGAACTTGCTTCTTGTAAGGATTTAAATTTTTTTCATGTAAAAAAGAATAAAATGAACTCTGGTTCTATGAGTTTGTTGATTGTATTGAAAGGTTTTCATTATCAGTTCGCAGAAGGCTAATTCTACAATGAGCCTAAAGGCCTGGTTGTTCTTGTTGCTTCATTATTGTATTTTCTTCAGGGTTTTGTTTGTTTGTTTTATTTTGCTTTAGTTTGTTTGTGGGAGTTTTTGGTTTTTTTTGGTTAGGGTTGTTTTGTTTTTTTTTTTTTAAAGAGTAGAGTTGTCTATGCTGGGTACTTTGACTTTTCAGGGCAGGCAGAGATTTTCTTTGAAAACAGCAAAGGACTATTCTGTTAGTGTAGCTTAGTAGTGATCCAGTTGACAGTTTGCTTTCTTCTCTTATCTCTGTTATTATAACTTCATGCTCTTCTTCCTCCTCAGTCTATCTCCTGTGTTATTCTTTCCTTATTTGCAAATCAGTTATTAGTATTCTGCAGCAATTTGGGGTTTCAGGATGTCAGAAAACACCATGCTGTGCAGCCACACCCTGTGCAGGATTGCTGGAGAGACTCTGGATGTGGGAAGGTGTGTTGTTGGTGTTAGCTTTTCTGGAGCACTACGAGAGTCTTTTTTACATTCAAGACAATAGGTTGGTTTTATTTTATGAAAATATTTGAATCCTAGAACTTACTTTCCTAATGACAGAAAGGGGAACAGATTGTGGATATATAGTCTGGTTTTGAGATATTTGTTGCGGGATAGAAATAGTGATAACTTTGTTTTATTCCAAGAAATCCATTTTTCTTTTCCACCCCAGCCACAAACCTTGGAAATGTTGGTTCTTGGCCAAATTCAGCCCTGAATATGCCTGTTTTTTCACTTACCCTACTTGAGGACACCAAGTTAACTATGGAGTACATTAGATATAGCAGGTTGTGTGTTTGTCACCCTGAGGTGTCTTTGGCGTGGTCTTTTAATTCGACAGAAGAGATATTTCTGTTTGTAAGTGAGCAATAGTTATACTTGAAGCTAAGGGATTTAATTTAAGTGGTGTTTCATAATGACACAATCATGCAGAACAAGTACCTGGAGGCATCAAAACTGTTGAGATGCAAATCAAGCAGGTTTTTGCCACGTGGCTCTGAACCTGTCTTTACCTTCCCAGTTCGCTCAGAGCATGTGTATCCTTTATTTTTATTACAACTTAAAGAAAAACCTTGCTTGTAATAGAAACATATGCAAAAAGTATTGAGAAGTTTGTATAACGTGAAGGCGAAAAGAAATACAAACCAGTTTGTGCTTTAATGTCTTCTGTTCTGCTTCGCTGAAGGAATTCCTATCTCAGGACACCGAGGAGAAAAGGCGATAGCCAATTGATGTCCCAGAATAACAGTTCCTAAAAAATTGTAATTTGTAGTGAAGCATCTACAATACCTCTTCTCCATCCATTTGTGTCTTGCAAAGACTAATAAAACTACTGATGTAACTTCAATATTAATTTCATGTGTTGGGAAAAGGAGGAACAGGATTTCCCAAAGCTATTATAAAGAACCTTGTGTTCTTCCTCTAGCTCCTAGCCTAGTGCTTGGGATAGATTTATTGTGTATCATTTCCCTCTTTTCTGGGTCTTGGGTTGCAGGTCCATATAATTATTTCTTGTTGAAAATAGGGCATCTTGGTTTCAGACTCTTCCTTTCTCTTTCAGGTGTTATTTTTGCACCGTACGGTCCTGTCTGGAAGCAACAGAGGAAGTTCTCTCTCTCAACATTGCGTCATTTTGGAGTAGGGAGACATAGCTTAGAGCCTAAAATCATTGAGGAGCTGAACTTCATAAAGGAAGAAATGCTGAAGCATGGGAAGGATTCATTTAATCCCTTTCCAATCATTCGCAACGCAGTGTCCAATGTTATCTGTTCCATGGCCTTTGGCAAGCGTTTTAACTACGAAGATGTTGAGTTCAAGACGATGCTGAAGAACATGGCCCGTGCACTGGAGCTGAGCGTGGACAGCTACATGATCCTGGTCAACATCTGCCCTTGGCTCTACTACCTTCCCTTTGGGCCTTTCCGGGAGCTTCGGCAAACAGTACTAGATATTACTGCTTTTCTGAAGAAAATAATTGCACAGCACAGGGACACACTGGATGCAGCAAATCCCAGGGACTTCATTGACATGTACTTCATCCATGCAGAAGAGGAGAAGAACAACAAGGAGAGCAGCTTTAATGATGACTACCTATTTTTTATCATTGGTGACCTCTTCATTGCAGGCACAGATACTACTTCCAACACATTACTGTGGTGCCTGCTCTACATGTCCCTTTACCCGGAAGTACAAGGTAAGACTATTTTTATTCTAGGTGATTTATTCCAGACTGTAAAGCTCTAGATGGATGCTCAGAAACAGAAGCAAACAGCGACAGTGCAGATATCATTTGAAGTGCAAACAATGTGTGTATGTGCAATTTGAAAGGCTGATATGTAATCAGACATCTTCTATCCTCCTGTGCTTTGAAGACCTCTAGGTTAGTGTTGTATATTAAGTACTAAATGGCCTTTTAATCTGTGCATTTCTTCTGTTTTGGGGCAAATCTTTTCCAAATAATTCCAGGGAACTTTAGCGTGTTTGAGAAACTTTGGCAATTGTGGCATTCCAGGCATATAGCAGTGATACAAGATATGTAAGATCCATAGTGGTAAGGTCTGCTTTTATGCCTTCTGTGCAGGGAGGTTGTTGAGCCTAGTGGCAGAGACTGGGGAAGTGAAACACTACCCGCTGTAGAGGAAGATCAAATCAGAGACAGTTTCAGCAAACTGGACTTGGCACAAGTGCACAGCACCAGCTGGTCAGTGTCTTTGGACAGGCCTCTCCCCAGGAGTGGTCGTGTCAATGGTCAACCTTGGGTAGATGGTTGATGATGGCAGGGGGTGGGAGGGTAAGACACATGGAACACGTGACCCCAAAGAAGTGGCAGAAGGAATTGGTCTTGTTCATTATTAGGGAAAGATGACTGAGGGGAAACCTTATGCTGTCTACAGCTACCTGATTGGAAGATGCTGAGAAGATGGGGGCAGTCTCCCCTGAGGTGTGCAGTGCAAGGGAGAGAAGCAGCAGAGACAGTCTACAACAAGAAAATTCTAATCAGATACTAGGAAAAAAAATTACCCTGTTGAAGATGGCAAAGGAGTGCAACGGATTTTCCTGAGAGTTAATGGAATCTCTGACTTTAAAAGTATTTGAAACTCAGTGGGTTATGACCCTGAGTAGGCTCATCTACCTTTGGAGTCTGATCTGTCTAGAATAATCACTTCTAAATAGGTCGAGATCATAGTTTATTGCACCAAGTCAACCAGTTTGTTGACCAAAGGTTGCACAATGGGGCATCAGTTCAATACGTGGAAGAGAGAGTTCACTGGGACAACTGCAAAATAAACTTTTATTGCATAGGCTTATTCTTCTGTTTTTGATGTCTGCATGTTATCACTGCTTGACTTGATATGCAGTTACATGAATTAGATATATTCTAAATTAGACAAATAAGATCTGGAAGAGTGTTGTGTTGGTTTGGGTTTTTTAACCTCTTTCCTACCTGCGTGTTACTGTATGTGTATGTGCTGGTCAATTTTCCTTCTTCTGGTGATCTCTTTTATTACTTCTCTCCAATTCCACCTTTCCTTATGTGGCTGTTGTTGAGTAATCAAAATAAGCTCAATAGTCTAGAGTGTATCACTTAGCTATGGAATGTGATTCTCTTACTTCTAGTATCCTGTTCCTTATGTATCCTGATTGCCTTGGAGTAAGGTAGGGGCCTCTTTTTTTGACTCTGGTAATGTGTTTCTCTTAAACATATTGACATATTTTTTTCCGTAAAGAAAATACCTGAATTTTGTAACTTTTAGCAGTAGCAAATGCTGCTTGCAGACGTGGAAAGGCAAGCTAAAGGCTATCAGGGGAAAAAAATCTGGAATAGCCTTTTTCTCTTTGGAAACCAGTTTTGCTTTTTACATGGAAAAAGAAAAGAATTGGTGTGAGACAATGTGCTGAGGCCATGTGGAGTGTTTGGTTTGGTTTGTTCCCTGACTTTGTTTTGGTCCTTAACTTCTGAAGATCTGTGAGATTTTGAAATACCTGAAAAGTTGTGGAGCAGTTCAAATATCATGCTGTTGGTGGAGAACTGCTCAAGTTTGTATTTTTGCACTTAGCGACGTGAGCAGCAGTTTGGCTGCTTTCTGTATGGTTCAGCATTTCTTTACAAACTGAACAAATGAGTTGTTTGAGATGAAGCACTGATGTGACATTTGGCATGAGACAGTCTCCTTAATTTTATTTTTTTATGTTGAAAACTTTGTTTAAATTACTGTGCATACCTGAATACTGGGATATGGTGTGTCACTAATAAAAGTAGCAACTCCTCACAAAGAAAATTCTGGAGGGCCATGCCATCAGCAGCACATCTCTTGCTGTATTTTTTAATGTTCCTCATACATGAACTTTTTTACTAGTGAAACCATTAGGTGGCAGCAGCTGTTCATTGAACCCAGTTCAGGCAGCAATTCTGGATGTTGCTTGGGAAACTGGGACACTTTTTTTTGTGTTGAGCTTTCATTTAATCTTGTGTCACTGCTAAGAGAAAAGAGCAAAAACTCAAGAGTATCAGCAGCTTGACTGGAAAAGGAAGGCAGGACAACCACAAAGTATTCAGGATACAAAAGGTGAAAATTGAAAACTGACTTATTATTTTTGATTAAAGGTTAGTTTTGAGGTCTCCTCTTTCAAGGAGACCTTTTGCTGTGTAGCCAGATTCCAAGTTACCTGTAAGAGAAGGCATATCATCCTGCATGTACATAGGTGAAGCAAATCTTGCATCTTGGAAACTTTTGTGAAGAGAACTACTTGCATGATGAGTCTTTTGAGAGATGAAAGGGACAAACAAATATTTTGACAGTTTATGCTTCCCATGAATGAGAAAGAAAATTAGCTCATTAACTTTTTTTTCCTTTGCAGAAGGGCTGTGTGGGGAAGGAGCATCTGCTGCTGCCTTTTGGGGGAACTGGGAAATAGCTGAGTTTAGGTTCTGTGAATAGAAAGTAAGAAGTGGCAAGAACAAGTTAAATGGCTTCTACACTTGCAGTAACAGCACCAGAATTCCTGCTCCAGAATGAAGTGTCTAAAGCAGCTGCATGAAAAGCTTTCCAATCTCTCTGTGTGCAGGCACACACTGCACACACTTCTCTTTTTGTTTAAAGTTTTTAATGTGTGGCAGAAGCTTGATGTTTTCACCATTCAAATTACTGCATATATATATATGTATGTATATATATATATATAATTAACCTCTTAAAGTAAGATTATGAATACATTTGGAATTGCCACAGAACTTTTCCTGTACTCTTCCAATGCAAAAGTGTGAGCAATGTCTGTCATCTCAGTAGCTTTATTTTTGACAATTGTGGTTGGTTGTTTTCTTCTTAACTGAACCTCTTCTTAAAGCTCATGCTGGCATAGTTATTTCAGCTAGGGATCACATCTTGAAGTAATTTTTGAGAAATCTATGTAAACAATGAAGCACAGACAGATGATATTGGGAAGATGTCTCGTGACATATTGTGTATCTTTTGAATTTTTTATTTTTCTTCCTCCCTTTGAATAGAGAAGGTTCATGCAGAAATTGAAGCAGTTCTAGGACATGACAAAGTTCCCTCGCTTGCTCACAAGGCTCAAATGCCCTTTACAGAGGCAACCATTATGGAAGTGCAGAGGATGACTGCAGTTGTTCCCCTCTCTATTCCTCGAATGGCCTCAGAAACTGCTCGTAAGTGTTTCTAGAGACTTCTTACTTACAGTATTTCTTTTGGGGATGAAGATCTGATGGGACATGTAGTGATAATTTACAAAGACCTCATTTATGTGTTAGACCTGTAACCCAAGTACGTAAAATGCCATTTTTAGAGAGTAGGTGGCCTCAAGATACTCCTCTATTTAAGCAGCATAGCTGACCTTACATCATAATTTAGAGCAATTTCTTTTATGTGGGTCAGCCTGTATTGACTGATATGCTTAGTTGTAGCTGGCAGCTGACACTCCACCTTTGTACCTGAAACAGCAGAGTTGTTTTTGGCATTTTGACACAGAGGTCTGAAAACATCAATTTAGAGCAGGTCATTGCTTAAAGGCTTATACCATTGACCTCCATGTATTTTTCCAACTTATCTATTGCTGAGCAATGGCTAAAGTCAGTGTAAGATAGTCATACTCAGCTTTCAAACCCAGTACTGAATTGATCTTTTTTAATTATTTTGGCTTCAGGACAGTGAGGTGCAACAAGCTGAAATAAGACTAGTAATTTCAAGACCCTCTTGTGACAACAGTTCAAAACCCATCCCTTGACTGTGCTGGGGCTCTATGACAGCACAGGAGTAAGAGGAAACTGGGTTGCAGCACTTGCATGCTGCAGAGTGCATTTCTTACAATGCTGCCGCTTTTTCTCTGCAGGGAGCTGTTGGTGTAACTTGATGTCTTTCCAGCTGCTCAGGCCTGTGTGATTCTGACTCAAACAGGGTAGCAGAGATCACCTTTGCCTTAAGCTTTTGCTACATTTGCAGCCCACTGCTAGGGATGGATATAATTTTTTATGACATCCTCTAGTTGTCTTTTTAGTGATATGTTTCCCATGTTTACTTCTAGCAACTTGTCAGATCTCTGTCTCTGTGTTTTTGTTTCAAGTGCTGCAGGGATATACCATTCCTAAGGGCAGTGTGATTGTGCCCAACCTCTGGTCAGTACACAGAGATCCTAACATTTGGGAGAAACCAGATGAATTTCAACCATCAAGATTTCTGGATGAAAATGGGCAGCTAATTAAGAAAGAATCATTCATTCCTTTTGGAACGGGTAAGATAATCCACATGCACTCATTGGGTGCTGGGGGGGGGTGGTGTTTCAAGTGTAGGGCCTTGGAGGTGTGAGATATAAAAAATGCACATAGGACCAACTATAGAACTTATTTTATTATTACAGTTGGTGACTTGTAAAATGGGTTGGGTTCTTAAAGTCTCCAGCTGCCAGGCAGAAAGTATGAATTGTCCTTTGCTAATAGTTTTGTTGCAGATGTAAATGCTGTTAATACGAAGTAATACTGAGGAGCAAGGCTTAGAACAAAAGATTCAGAGTTCATAGCTTAATGGTAGCTTAAGCCTTTCTGTGTTTGGACTATGGTAGCACAGGAATTACATGTGTGTTAACAAAGGGATCAACTGTGTAAAGCCAGTAACATATCTCTTCTAACTGTTCTTCAGGTAAACGTGTGTGCATGGGAGAGCAGTTGGCAAAAATGGAGCTGTTCTTGATTTTCACAAGTTTAATGCAAAGTTTTACCTTTTTGTACCCTGAAAATGCTGCAAAACCATCCATGGAGGGAAGGTTTGGTCTAACTTTGGCTCCATGTCCATTCAACATAATAGCTTTGAAGAGATGATATAAAATCAAAAAAAAAGATTTAGCAAAGAAATACTGCACTTTTAAAATCCAGCTTTTTTTTGTTTCCATCTCTTGTTTCTTTTTTCTCAGGAAAACACTAACTGCATATGCTTTCACAGTCAGTGATCACTCCATTTAGACTTCTGGAAAGTAAAGATTTTCTTTGTCAGCTGTTGCATTCCACAAACAATCTGACAGCATAGTTTTCAATTTGATATTAAAATTTGCTGGGCTTAAACCCTGTCTATAAGCTATTGCTGTCACTTTGTCAAATGTTAGTTATGGGAGAATGGTCCAAAACATCTGTTAATGCTTTAGCAGATAGTAATTGTAAAAAATTGTAAAAGCAGCACATAAACAATTGATTTACCAAAGGAGTGAAGGACATTGTGTAATATCCAAAGGATTAACAAATGGCAGGGTGTTAGCATTTTCTGTGTAAAGAAACATTGTAATTGATCTTAACTAATGACATACACTTTTTGGAAACTACTAAATGACTCTTCTATTAACCTTGGAGGATTCTTTCTCGCAAGTAACTCATAGGTGTAGATAGGATCGAATCAGTCTGGATTCCTGGATTCAAACGTACTTGACTATCAGGGCTCACTAAAAACATGTAGGTGCCAACTCTGAAAACCCCAGGTTTGAGGCCACATGAATGTTTGAATATGCCATATTCTCAACATGAAACAAGTGTGCAGCACATGGATGCAGATGTTTAATTTTGGCATATAAATGAGAGCAGAATCCTCTAACAAGAAACAGCAGAAGTCTGTTCTTTCTGGTGCCAAGCAGATATTCAAGATGACATCTGTGCTGCCTCTTGGCATTCACTGTTTTCCCCACAGCAGCAGTGGCTGCAGTCTGGATGAGACCAACACCCACTCATAGGGAAAAACTCTACATGTGCAACCCTGGACTCAGGGCTTGCACTCAAGCTTTTCATTCACCAGCAGTACGGACAGTACTGCCACAACCTCTACGTCTTTGGGAACTGGACTCTTCAAATATGACATCACAGTGGCATTAGGAGTGAAGGTCTTATACATTTACCATGGAACAGGAGGAATCTGACAAACTTGAGGTTTGAATATAATGTCTTTGTTATCTTCCACATGAAGTACAAATATCTGGTTCATATAGTACTACTGTATCAGTACCTTATTCTTTATAAATGCAGAATCTTAGTGCTGTTAACCACTGTTAAACCAATGGCCAAGGAAACCTCATGTTAGGTGTTTTGGAACAGGGCGATCAGTCTTGCCTTGTATTTGAAAGATCTTTTAAACACGTAAAGTGATCTTTGGGGGGAATATGTAACAGTTAACTTTTAATTATTCTCAATTATTATTCAGTCACTTTATACCCCTTTTGATCTAGCAGAATTTCATATCACATGAATAAGTTCTTATGTACTCTTTTAAAGAAAGTTTTCTCCCCATCACTGGAGATCTAGAGAATACTGGGAGTCCTCCTAATGTCAAGTTTACAAGACTGGAATGTTAATTTGACTGTAATTTAGAATTGGGTATTCCATGGCAGAAACTGAATCTAAATTGTAAAAGAAGAATCAACTTTTCAGCTTTAAATTAATGTCTGTTTTTGTCACTTTTAAACTTGAAATTTTATAAGCCAGGTAGTGCCTAACAAAGACTGTAAGATAGTTATTTTGGATTTAAATTAAGGTTTTCTGTTACCTGCTTTGAATAACAGAGTGCCTTAATTTCTGAATTATGTATTTAATTGGTCAAGTATCCCACTGTTTGTGTGAGAACTTCCAGTTCTTATGTAGGCTAACTTTGGACTTCATAAGCTTCTGTTGAATTTTTTTATTAGTATGAAATTTTTGAAAACTTGGCACAATAAAAAGTTGAATTTGATACCAATGCTAGTGAACTTGCTCTAAAAGCTGACAGTATTGGAGAATTAAGCACTCGTTTCTTTAATTTTGTATTTTCCATTGAATAAATAGATTCTGTACAGTCAGGATTTTTGTCTGAAAAATCCTTAAAATAGTATATGCTTGACTGAGAAGCTAAAATTTAGTGCTGATAATATTTATCTTTGTGTTGAAATGCCTTTTAAGCAACATAATGATGTTGGTGTGCAACTGATCACTTATACAAAATATCTGTCCTTTTGATCAATGAGGACACATTTGAAAAGCACTTTAGTACTTTATTTTTACATTTTCCAAAGAAAACACAATTCGCATAATCCCCTAGAATGTGAAATTGTACATATTTGTGCTTGTTTTGCCTGCTGAGTTTAGTTTAAAATGTCACCTTTGAAAACTATCCTTTGAAAATTATTCTTCTGCAAATAGTATCTTGAGAATGTGGTTTTTGGTGATACCTGTAATCAAATGCTGCATCGTGTGACAAGCTAAAAATACTGATGCGAAGGTTCAATCACGTCAATGTCTGTCAGAATGCAAGATGCTGTTAGAAATTACGATAAAGACTTGCCTTTCATGCCTTCCAGATGCACTGAAATTTTCACAGGATGCCATCAAAGTAGCTAAATAGTAGCATAAAAGCAACAAAATCTTTGTGGTTTTCAAAGTGTGTTGCCATCTTTGGCAAACTAAGTAAAATGGTAACAGATTTGGGTTGTGTTTGTAAATGTATCCTCCCCCTCTGTTTTTTAGCAGAGGAAGCATATCAAATGCCTTGTTGAAAAATGTATATATAAGTGAGTGGCTGTTTCTGAATGCTGAAAATATCTTTGTGTCTAAAAATTGCTTCAGACTTTGCTTCAGTATATTTTTATTTTTAATAAAGTAATTCCCAAGTAAGTGTGTGACAGCTTTGCATTGTCCTTTCGATGAGTTCCACTTACTGACTAAGCTTGTGGTGTTTGGCATCTTACAACAAAAGTTTCTGAGTGACAAAATATTACAAAATGTTTTTGGATGAGGAGTGAAGGATGTGGGGGAACAAAGTGAAATTGGAAAAATACGCTGCCAGGCATGTTATGATCAAATGATCCAAGGAATGTTTTAAAAGCACTCACAGAATAAAAGGAGAGGGAAGGGTAGAGATGAGGAAGATAAAAGGGCAAATGAGTTGTCACCAGGAGGAGATGCACAGTGTGCAAGAGAGAAAATCTTGGGCGGGAGCTGAGGTGTAGTTTTGTTGGACTCCTGGCATAGAGAGGCATGGAGGGCAGAGAGGGAAAGGGGTGGCCATGGAGAGCCTGGGGTGGAGGACAGAGAGCTGGGGCCTCTGGCCTAGAGGAGGCCCGGTGCAGGGAGGAGATCGTTATATATAGAAGGGAAGACCTGGGAGCAGACAGCTGAAGTGCATGTGGGGAAGAAGAGTATGAGCACTGTGTGTGCTGGAAGCTGGGCACTCAGGAGCAACAGCTGTATGTGGAAACTGTGTGTCTTACACCCTGGGCTTTTTTTTTTTTTAAGGGAAGTTCATTAGTTACCCACTCAGCTGTCATTTGTATACACAAAGAACAGTAACTCTGAGTCTCTGCTTGAGTAAAGCTGTTCCACAACCACTTCCTGCTCCTGCCTAACCTACTGTCAGGTGAGGCTGAGTGAGGAAATGAGGAATTTTTTTGCATTGGGCTTTTGGTACAAAGTGCAGAGATATGAGAATCCTCTTATTTTTTAATTTGACTCAAACAAGCTGCTTAATGTTTACCCTGATGCTGACTTAAGTACAATATGCTGTAATTGTTGTATTGTCAGCTGCTGCTGTTGCTGACTTGAAGTGCTGGTTGTTCTGGAGATAAATGAAGTACATGGAAAATCAGGTCTGTCTGCATCTGATATGATTCAGCTGTTAGTATTTATAAAGGAAGTAATTTTTTGTTGTTGTTTACTATATGACTTGTGCTAGCCTGGAAATAAAATCCCCTTCTACTCAGGAAACACTTGTTATAGAGAGAGAGCTTCTAGTGATGTGAACAGGAAGGACACTGAGGTGTTGGAGAGGGTCCAGAGAAGGGCAATGGAGCTGGTGAAGGGCCCAGAGGGTAAGTCATGTCAGGAGCAGCTTATGGAGCTGGGGCTGTTTAGCCTGGAGAAAAAGGAGGCTCGGGAGACCTTGTCGCTTTCTACAAGTGCCTGAAAGGAGGTTGTGGCCAGGTGGGAATCGGTCTCTTCTCCCGTACAAATAGCACTAGGACAAGAAGACATAAGCACCTGGGGAGGTTTAGGATGAACGTTAGGAAGAATTTCTTCACATAAAGGGTGATTAGACATTGGAATGGGCTGCTCAGGAGGTAGTGGAGTCACAGTCCCTGGAGGTGTTTAAGAAAGACTTGGTGCCATGGTCTAGTTTGACATGGTGTTCGGTCATGTGTTGGACTCGGTGATCTCAGAGGTCTTTTCTAGCCCCATTAACTCTGTGAACATGAGCAGCGGCAACAGGAAGGTGAGTGCTGAGGAGGCAGCGCGGTGACCTCTGTGGCAAAGGACGGGCATCAGCGCCGCCACCGCCCCCGGCCCAGCGCCAGCCGGGGGCCAGCGGGAGCTCTGACCTCGGCGTTGCTGCTTGACTCCTCTTAAGGAATCAGAGGTAGCGTAGGTGAAAGACCCACCGCGTCTCTTCCCCGCGGCCGGGCAGCCGGGCCCGGCCACCGCCCCCCGGGGCGGAGCGCAGCCCTCGCCCCGCCCGGCCCGGCCCCGCCGCTCGCCCGCTCCGCGCTCTCGCCATGGCCTTCGCCACGCGCCCGTTCGTGCGCGCCGCCTCCTCCGCCGCCGCCACGGCGGCCGCCAAGAAGCTGATCATCAAGCATGTGACGGTCATCGGCGGCGGCCTCATGGGCGCCGGCATCGCCCAGGTGAGCGCGGAGAGCCCGGCCTGGGCGCGGGCGAGCGGGGGTGAGCGGAGGCGGCGGCGGCGCCATGGCGGCCGCGGGGCGGCCGGGGCTCGGCAAGTGCGGCCGGAGCGGGGTCGCCCCCGCGCTCCTGCTCCTGGCGGCCCCTTCGCTCCGCTCGCAGCTGAGCCCGGCCCCGGTGCAGCGCCCCGCGCTGTCCTCAGGCGGGACGGGGCGAGCGTAGGGGAAGTCGAGCGGTCCGCCGGCGGACCGACGTGAATAAAAAGCGCAGCGAAACAAAATAAAACCTCCCGCTTCTCTTGAGTGTGTTATAGTTCGTGTTCGGTCTGTTCCGTGCTGTGGCTTTCCAGGCTGTGTTTGTCAGCAGTGGCTGCCCTGGCCCGGCCGTGGCACCCCGAGGGCAGGGCCGGTGCGGGCCCGGAGGGACGCGCCCCTTCTGCTCCGCTGCCAGACTTGTGCGGAGTCAGCGTTGGGGTTGACTTTGATTGCTGCGGGGCGGGAGTGGGAAGTATTGCTGCACCGCTGCTGTCTGGTTGCCCAACTTTAACACTTCTTGTTCTCTTGCTAATCCACGCGTCTTCAGGTCAGACGAGTCGGCAAGAAGAGCCAAGGTCTGTATTTTAATTTCTTTAGGGTGGTTGTTAAGACAGTGTGTGGACTACTTGTAAACCAGACAGTGTATGATAATTTGTGAAAAACGTTGGTCCGAGAAAGAAGCTACTTCTAACTTGCCAAGGGAGTAGATTAGGTGTCATTTTACAAGTAAAATGCAGCAGCTAAAATGGGTATTTAGCTGTCAGTCGTCTGCAGAATTATGAATTGGTTAATATTTAAATAGGGCTTATTTTCCCAGTGCTCAATCTCAGGCCTTTGGCTTTCAAGTTCACCTTTAACTTGATAGCTTTAGGACATAAAACTGAACAGTTCTGTCAGTGATGTAAAATTTAGATATTTGTTTAATTCAGAGAAAGACCCTGTTGCCCAAGATACCAGGATAGTTCACAAACTTCACAAAGAGTAAGGGGAGTATGCAAAGGATCCCCAGATAGAAACTGACAGTGAGCTTGGAGCTCATAAATAGCAATTCTCCATTTTAATGGATTAATGAGTTTCCTTCTCAGAATGGAAGATATCTTACATTCCTGGCAAATCTCTGGCAGGAGGAATACAGAGGGGTTTGTTTGTTTGTTTTTTCTTTTAGTAAGGAATTAGCTAGTTGTTTTTTCACTTATCTGGTAAAAACACTCCTGTGTATCTTGATGCTAGAGTTTGAGGCTTCCACTGAAGGAACTATCAAAGAACAACTTTGGAGAAAGTTGTTCTCATGTTTTAGGAAGATGCACACTATGCAAAGTTTATAATCTTGCAGGGAAAGTGAGCTGATCTTCATATTCTGTTAGTCTGCACATTCTCAAAGAGCGGCATGTTAAGAGAAACATGTCTGGTATTTGGCAGTAACAGGGGTTGTAGGCTTCTACCACTGTTAAGGACCAAGGATTGTTTTGCTGACCATCTGCCTCCAATTCATCAATCCAAAATTATCTCAAAGCAAAGATGATTATAACACTTAGTGGTGTCTCCCCTGTACCTTGTTAATAAAGCTGTTTTTCCTCCCTTGTTGTACACTTAAGAAATTGTCTCTCCTCTTTCCTTGCTTTTTCATACTCTCAGGAAAAGCTAACCTCTGGTAAAATGTATGGTTGAAAGCCATGAGTTTATAATTTCTGATTTTACCATGTGAAAAGCACTTCTACATGAGAAGAGCATTAATTGACTCCCCAGCAGTCATGTTTCTTATTTAGCATTCTTAAGATCATTGGGTAGTAGAATCTAGGCAAGTGTGTCTTTGAATTACTAGGAGATGGTATGATCTTTTGCCATATTCTTCTTTCCTGTCCATGTAACTATGGGGGGAAAACATATGTTAATTTTTCTAGGATTTTTCACCAACTGGTCAGTGATGGTTTCATAAATGGATGCTCAGAGAAGCATTTCTTATAAATGTGCTTGGTATTGATTTTTCATCTGAAGATTAAAGGGTCTTGCTGTGCTGCTACAAATGATCAGCAACAGAAGTCCAAGCTTGGTTTAAGTGTTTTTTATCCAGTTGTTTTTATGAAATAGCCATAGTGAAAATAAAAGGAAAAAAGTTGGATAAAGACGTGCCCATCTGCCGACTGACCCCCTGTTAAAGCTCTACTGCTGCTGTCCAGAGGCAGTCTGGCATTTCTTTATTAGCTGTATTAGTGAGGCAAATTGGATGAGAATATCACCATGCTTTTCTTCATGAGATATCTCTGTATTTTTCATTTCAACTGGCTTTGTTGGAGTAGGTCTTGTGGGCACATGAGTCTTTAATCTCTATGTATAAGATTAGATGTAAGGTAGAAGATTGCAGAAGGAAAGCTCTGAAGTTGTGTCTTTAAAAACCATCAGTGGAACCATGTTTTAACATCCATTTTATACAATTATTATATTACAAGCTCTGTTAATTCAAGAATTCTGAAAAGGAAGATAGGCTGTTGCTAACTAGCAAGAGGAACATTAATGAATAGTGAAGTAACAGATAATGAAGAGCTGAGTTTTATTATGCTGATGCAATGTGTGAAAGTGATGTTATACGTTTGAAATTAATTTAAATTCCAACCAAAAAGACAACTGAGTAGTGCTGTCCGTAGCTGAGCCAGTGTTTGCACCAAGTATGTAGTAAAGAGAGATAGCAGGTCATTCAGGTCTGTGCAGAGTCCTGGAGTGGCAAACATTTACTGCTGCGCTGTCACCTTCCAGTTGTTGCAGGCACGTGCTCATGGCCTGACAGCAGAGCTGTTGCTGTGTCCTGGGAACACAGGGTTGGTCATCTCTTATGCCACCTGTTTGCCCTGCCAGCATTCCAGTTTTGGTCTCCACAGCCCTTTTTCCTTACAAGATACAAGGATCACAGCTAAGCCACTTGTTCCTTTCAAGGCAACTGTTTGTTCTCTAGCCATAGCTGCAGAATTC